ATATAACGTTCAGAGATTGAAATGCCCCCTCCCTTCCCCCCATAAGGGGGGGAAGGGAGGGGGCATTTTTTTAAGCATTTTTCATATTCGGCCGTGTCTGTCCTGAACGTATCAGGTACCAAATACGCGCGCCCCACGATCGCCCCAAGCTCGACGAGTAATTTCACAAGATTCCATTTCGGCGCTTATTTCGCTACGGCAACCGGAACCTAAAGCGGACATAGAGCTTCTAATTTACCCGGCCATAAGAACTTGGGGCGTCCGTGTGCCAGCGGCTGACAGGTCTTCGAATTTCGATAGGGTTGTGTTGTGTTGTGGTGTTGAGTTGTGCCTCTTGCCTCTGGATCTTCTTTCTTCGACCTTTACTTTTTTCACTTCTGCTGTCGCTGGCTTCCACAGTTATTGTGCAGTTACTATGCATTTTAGATGGGCTGTTGTCTTCTACAATTGTGATTGCAGAATATGTGTTAGCAGAGTCATCATCACAATTTAAAATCTATGACTTGTTTGTATGAAATGAATATATACGGATTGCGTAGGTAAGTAACTGACATCATGCTTGCAGACTTACCCTTATTTTTGGCTTATTGCCGAATGCAAAAGAAATAATTTTCTCACCTCCGGAATATGATTCAAGAGAGAACACATCAGTGATATAAGCGGCTAATGGGTTATTGATGGTGTCAGCATCACTAGAAGTTTCGTCATCGTCACTTACATCGAAGAAGAGACTCCAGATATTCCTTCTCAGACAAATAATGCGGCATCACCTGGTGGAACAACATTTATTACATACATTACGCATTTGGAAAATTCATAGCTGCTAATTTGATGAGGAATAAAGTTTTCTAGATAAATAATATATATTAACTAGACATACCTATTTCAATGCATGAAAAAACATAAAATGACAGAAAACTACCGTGTTGTATCATTAATCATACACATACATATGATGCAGAGAAGTTGCCCATATGTGCCTTGTATCAGAAATGATACAACGACATTTTCTCCTATTCAACGAAAACAAATACTTGAAATGACTTATTGAAGGCTTCCCAATTATCACGACAACATAAAAAATGGGCTTTCTTTTCTTCTTACCTCTGAGAGAAACGTAGAAGCCAGAATGAACCAAGAAATATGAGGCTTCCGCACACTTCCACCGACCACGCCTTGCCGCTCACTGGCGAGCAGGGGCCATACTTTCGAAACTCTCCAAGTGAACGTAAGGACTTACGCTCTATTTTCTTGTCTATGATTGGTAGATTTTGCTTGAAAGGCCGCCAATGATTGGCTGATGAACTTACGATCTCTTAACTTTTTTTGAAAGTATGGGCCCATGTTCACAACTTCGCCGCACAACACAACACCGATGTAACTCGTTTCGTTCTCGTTAGATTTCGTATTTATCGTACTTATATTAGATGTGCCGCAGGCAAGTAGCCTGATTACCTTAGCATTTATAGGCGAAAATTTGGTTTGTATCATTTTTGATACGTGGTGCATTTAAGGGTTAAAACGCAGCTGCCACTTATCAGCTATAGTCAACCAGCCTGTCAAGATCACCTTTCAACTGTACTTTTTGCAACGTATTCTTCACTGTATAATAAATTTTTGTGTCGTCAGCATACATCGATTAACCGCTAGACACAGCTGCTGGCTGATCGCTTATAAAGGCAACGAATAAAATAGGCCCGAGAACGATTCCTTGTGGCACGCCACATGCGCACTGAAGCGTCTGATACGGACCCATTAATACTGACACATTGTCGCCTCCCTACTAGAAAATCTCCGATCCATTTGAGTATATTACGCTCAATTCCCAAAGACTTCAATTTACGCAACAGCCGCTCATGTGGGACACTCAATTTGTCGAATACCTTGGCAAAATCGAGGTACACTGCATCTACTGGCTCCCTTTTGTCCAGCAGGCGGGTCCATTCGTTCAGAGTAGACAAGAGGTTAGTGGTGCAGGATCTCCCGGCAATAAAGCCATGTTGACAGTCTGATAGGAAATTATTAGCAGTCAAATGATCTATCAATCGATCCCTCACAACAGATTCCATTACCTTGCAAAGGACACTAGTCAAACTGACAGGGCGATACTTGCTCGGGCAGTTTTTGTCACCTTTTTTGAACAATGGTGTCACTTGAGCTTCTTTCCAGTCAGCCGGCAAGATCCCTTCGTTCAAAGTTTTTCGGAAAAATTACGTAAAAGGGCCGGCTAGGACAGTTGCTAACTCTTTTAGTAATCTGAGGTGGAAGCCGTCCGGTCCACATGACTTGTTTGGATTTACAGCGATAAGGCGCTTGAGAACCTCTTCTTCTTGTATTTCAAAGCTTGTTAATTCAGAGCCGACTGGGCGCTCCTCAATAGCTGGAATGCTGTTCAAGTCCTCTTCAGTGAATACGCTACTGAAAAAATGATTAGGTACGTTAGCCTTGCTTTCATCAGAGGATATCTTTCGTTGATCTACTTTCAAATCAGAAATACCGTCCTTCATCTTGCACTTCGAGCTAGCGTACAAAAAAAGGCTTTCGGTTTATTTTTTGCATTTTAAGCAATACTTTTTTTCGAGGGTTTTTACTGCGGTGCGACAGCCTTTTTTAGCTTGATTTCGAGCTCTTGCGTATAGGTTATAGTCAGCATCGCTACGAGTCTGTAAATAACACTGGTAGGCTTACTTCTTTGTTTTCCGCTTAGCTAAAATTGTACTGTTCATCCACTGAGTGTTTTTGGCTCCACCAAGCTTAATTTTAGGTACACACGTATCAACTGCAGACATAACCGTGTCCTTGAGAAATGACCATGACTCAGCCACGTTCATGTCCTTAATACAGTTCGAAATATTCACTGCATTCACTGCTTCACGGAGTTTATCATAGTCGCCTTTCGCAAAATTCAAACGCTCACGCTTTCGAGGCGTCTATTCTGTGCAGCACTTTAGACTGAAAAACAATGATTGGTGATGGCTTTTGCCCAATGGAGCCTCGTGACGAAGCTCATCTAACATTGATTCATCATTAGTAAACACCAGGTCTAAAATATTGGGAGTCTGTTTATTTCTATAATTGGTTGGCTTGGTAACGTGCTGGACTAGGAAGCAATCTCACACAGACTCCATGAACACGAATGCTGGGTGATTCTCAACGCTTGGAGAGGATCCTTCTGTCCAGTCTAGCTCTGGATGATTAAAATCACCAACGATCAACGTGTGTGACCTACGGAAAGTCATGCTCGGTAAAAGACTGTTTAGTACTTTATCGTTATCAGAGGAACTGTTTGATGATCTATAAATGACCCCAATATGGAGGCTATCTTTGCCTTTGAGAGAAAGTTCGCACCACACTGATTCTCTAGCTGATTGATGCTCTGCAGGTAACTTGATTTGCTGGGCCCCATAAGAGGTTCTAACCTGCAAAGCTACACCTCAACTGCACTACTCTTCATTTAAGTTATGAAAACAATCAAAACTTGGCAACTGAAATTCAACAGGTACAATTTTCCCACCGGGATTTTTAGGGAGTGTTTCTGTAATACAAATAATGTCTATGCACTCGTTTTCGATCACAGTTAACAGCTCATTTTTCTTGTTCAAAACAGAATCCGAGTTGGTGTAAAAACATTTTACAACTTTTTGTGAACTTTCACTTTGATGCATGCGTTTACTTCTTACATTATTTACAGGCCTGGATCTATGGACATGACTTCTTACTTGTATTCCAGCTACGCTGACTGACCGTGTGCGGCCGATGCGTGTTATCTTGACATCGTGCGAGTGGTTGACCTGAGTGTCCGTGTTTTTCCGCCTGAGTCTCTCCTGCAATTTCTTGCGAAAATTTGATCTCTCTAAAGAGGTAGTATCCTTCTTAACAAAGACTGAATTGAACTCTGGGAATTCACTTTGTTTTCTCGCAGCCTTAAGACATGTCCGACCTGGGCTGTGTCATGCACAGTAACCAGCAGCGGTCTACAGGCGGTAGCGTCTTTCGATCGCAGACTCGTGCATGCCGTTATATTCACAACGACGTTAAGTGCCTTGGCACAACAATCAGTAATAAACTCGGCATCGAGAGCATTACTTTCGGGATTTTTAAGTGTAAGTGTTTTAGTATATTGAAGCCAGTTAAATGGTCAATATTTAGCTCATTACCTTGCTCCAAACAAACTTTACAAAGCTAATGAATAGACTTATCAATAATTGTTTACCCAAAATTCCCAAAGTGGTAAACACCACCTTGGCCATTATTGAAGGCAATAAGTGCCCTTTTTAGCCATCCATTGTGATCCATATATTGTTATTGTTAGTAGGCTAATTGCAATATAAAAAATATTTCAAAAAGACAAAAAAGCTGAAAAAATCAAATAAATAAAAAATCATGAAAAATAAAAAAACAAAATCATTGATTTTTGATTTTTTTAAATAAAAAAAATCACCAAACCCTGATCAGAGATGGCCTTTTTGCGGTCTTTACCTTCTGAGTTATTGCTATTTTCTGTTTTGTGCTGATGATCTGTCATTTCCACCAGCTCATTTCGTAACGAGTCTAATTCGCTGCGCAACAAGCTCCATTCTTTCTTGTGGTTCTCATACATTTTGGCTCTTTTTCTCAACTCTTGCTTGTTGGTTTGCTCCATTTTGGCCTTAAAGACAGAAAACATAGAAGAGCACTTATCTTCCACCATCTTTTGGCTTTTTACAGCGATAAGTGCAGGTTGTTGGCAATCCTGGCAATACCAGTGTACAGTCTCGTTTCTGCGAATAATGCACTATGTCTTATAAGCACTATGTCTTGCCCAACTTTGCACAATTGTTGCAGATATCTCCCTAACGATCACAGGCAACTATAGCGTCATTGACCTTAAGTGAAACCAGCTTGCGAAATTTACAAATTTCCCCTCGCTCATTTTGCGATTTGATCTTCGCATTCGGTTTAACAGGACTCGATGCATTTTCAATTAATCGTTTTCCACTCTGACCAGCCATCTTGAAATGCAGGAGCCAAATAAACACGAGTTAAAAACCGAAATCAAGCTGAGTAAAAATGGTTTGTTTGTTGTAAATAGTTACACACTTGAGAGTAAGCGGCTTTCAGAGAGCGGCGATCTCAGCGGCTTAGGTGTTCATGAGAAGAGGTAGGCTTGGACAAGAAAACAAAGGCTGTATTGTCCCGCGTGGGCGAGGCAGTCACACGTTACCCTCGCAAGCAAGCGTCCCTCACTGACTCTGAAAGTCTGCGTTATTTAAAACGAAAACACTTTTAGTTTAGGCTTGTTCTTTCTATTAGCACTCTCTTTTACTGATTTCACTGAAACTTGGTCATTCTCTGACACGGATCATAAAAAAGCGAAAACGGCACAGTAAAAGTTAAAAATTTGGAAATTTGGGACCACAAACACGAGCGTCCTCTCTCGACCACGGCTGTACGGAGAACTATTGACGTGGTCAAGAGTAGATAATTAAAAATCTAGTGACATTATATCCTCCGGTCACAAATTTGTACTCTATAAATTAAATGTCGTCGAAATTATTGAATGTGATGCATTTAAATAATGGAGATGAGAATGTCGTGCATGTATTGAAAATAGTTCATTTGGCATAAATAAAATGGAGAAAAAAATGTTGAAATTTACAGCACATCATAATGTATTGTTTACTTCTTTGAGGTAGCGCTGTAAATAGCTGAGAGTTTGCTGGTAGTAATCAAAGTTCATTGATAACATGTGCACTGTTGTGATGGTGTAGTGTGGTCCAGCCCGACACTGGCCTGCACTCGCACGACATTCCTATGGCACCACGCCGGCCAGACGTAAGATAGTCATCCCTCACAAGTAACGGCAGCAAACTCGGGCAAGCTCGCTCTGGAGTTCGGGGGGTTCTCAATACAAGCCTTAAGGCTTGTAGTCAAAATGCAGCGAAGTCTGAGAGGGAGTTTTTCGCGACCATCGTGTAAAATCCTTGATCTGCCCAAAGCTCGGCCAGTCGCTACCCTCGAGCTTGTACTCTTTGTAATATAATATCCTAGCCAGACCCTTCTTTGCGGTAACTGGTCGCTTTCAGGTGGCCGAGGAATGGCCAACGGTCGGCTATAACTAATTGGATAGGCCGACCACTGGCCACGTACTATTCTTCGCCCCTCATTGACTTCGCTTTACCATGCCACCCGTTGTGAACTGACAGTTGAGTAATTTACGACGTCTCTTTCCCCTCAAACATTGCACAACGTCTCCATTTGAGCAGCTAGTATGCGGGATTTCCCTCCGCGTATCAGCAGACTCGATCATAAATATTTTTTGGTAGAAAATATCATTAACAAGGAAGCTGATCAAGGAATGCCGAATATACCATTCAATTGACAATAAAAATTACAACCCGTTTATATCTCGAAAAAAGTGTAAAAATCGCAGACATGATGAACAATAATATTCAAAGTTTCTTGAAATTTCCTCTCATTAAAACTCTTTTAATACAAAGTTTACAAATTTTTTATTACTGGTCGACGCTTATAAATAAATAGCTGGGTAAGTATGGAAAAATCCATATCGCCATCTCATTTGCGAGTGTAGTAAAGTTTATCCTAATTAGTGAAGAGACGCTTAGGGAAGAGCCGAGCCTGTTCGAAGCCTCTCGGCTTTCAATCAGGGCCTTAATATTATCTCAAGGTATAGAGTGATGGATGAATTTCTATAAAAATTCGAAGTGATCTGTACGTGGCAACCCGGCTCACAATTTAGCAGTCACTGTTAGCGGGATTAAGACACTTTATGTTCTTGTGTTTTATTTTGTTCTATTTGTGTGTGTATTGTCTTAAAACTACTACCTTATTGTTATTGACAAAACCGAAACTATGTAATAAAATTATCTCGTACCCATGTTACTTCAGAGGATAGAACTGAGAATAATGTGCCTGTGCAAAGAATAAGGATTTTTTGACAGATAATACTGGATTTTGTATTAATTTTTATTTTTATTCCTCCTGGAATTTGTATTAAACGTTATCTAATTCGATCTAATGAACTGATTTTTTCGATCGCATATAAAATAAGATTGTTCCGCAATATTCTTGTGAAAACGCATCCTGCATGATTAATATTGTAAATTTAGGAAAGGTAATCAAGTATTTTATACGCAATACAAAGCAGTCCATTGCATTGATGGCTTCACACCCACGCCACGTGAATGCGTGAGACGTTACTTAGCACTGCGTGACCACTGCTTGCTTCCCGCGCTTTTGTGGGAGTAGCCAATCACACGCCAGTGATGTTGTGCGTGCAGCGTACCACACCACACTGATGGTATGTATAACACTCTACACTGATGGTATGTATACCACACCACACTGATGGTATGTAACCATGGTACCTACCACCACACTGATGGTAGGTATACGGTATACCACCCCACACTGATGGTATGTATACCACCCCACACCGATGGTATGTAGCTATACCACAGTCGTATTCTTAAATGGTATGGTATGTATACACCACTAATGGTATGTATATGATGGTATTGTGTTTCACTGATGATATTCTGAACCTTCTATTGTTCCGAAATTTTGACAGCTGCTCGCCTGCGAAAACGTAGGTTTCGTTTCCGGAGGTTTATAGGCAGCATGTACGCCAATACGCCATATAAAATAAAAAGTCAAGGTATTGAAGGTAATTATGTACGTCACGATGGAAATGATATGAAACCCCGAATCCAGTAAATTTCGGCATTATGGTGTGTGTGCCAACTCTTAGAAGTTAGTGCGAACATTTAGCATCTAATTTACAAATTAATTCCTCTTAAGGATATGAATGGCAATATTTTAGCCCTAAAATCACTCTATAATTCATTCAAAAAAGGGTCAAGCAATAATAAAATTGTTCTGTCAAAATTTAAGAGGGTCACTGTAATGGTTCGACACGAACAACATACGCGCACCCACCACTTCACCGGTTTTCAGGCAACTGAAGTGAAATAGCGTTGGACGCCGCTAGTCCGCTTGTGGCTAGTCGCTGCATGTTGCCGCACGCAGCAAACTGTTCGAGTAGCTGCGGCACTGTAATTGCTGGAACCTAAAACCGTGTTTCTGTTCATAATACTCATGGTGTATTTTTATCACACAGGTCTTTAATCTTCATATATTCACTTTTTCTCAGATAATTTCAGTAGTGCTGGGTGTTTTTTTAAATATGTAGCACTTGCTGTTGAAAATTAACAGAAACCCTTCATCCGAACGATTTTCGTCTCAATTTTTCTCAAAAAAAAAGCATTGATGAATATGATAACCATTCATAAGATATCCAAAAAATATAAACATTCATTCATGGTTGAATTATACAAGGTTAACCCACGAGGATTTCCGCCTCTCAGTTCAGCTTTCTTGTTACGTCACCGAGATCGAGAAACGTAAACAATCCCGTCATTCACATGAGTGACATGACTGATTGTCTGACTGGTTTGATCGCATTTCGGTGATTGGTTAATGCCCGTGACGTCACTGAGATCAGTGACGTCACAGGTGAACAACGAACTACATCCGCAAAAATGAGCTTCTCGTGAGTCAACCTAATACTAGTTCACGCATGACGAAGCCGGTGTCAAGACGCGTAAAAAAATAAATGTCTCAACAGTGAGATCAGAAAAATTACAAAGATTTAAATGTTTATTGTATGAGTCATCAGCCGTTGACGCGGAAACTTGAAGTGATTTCAGGCTCCTGTGGTCACCAATCGTAATCACCATTGCCAGCACACACTTTTAGACGGTTACAATTATATATGCTCCTTATGTTTAACATTATCATCCGTGTATTTTCTATGGCAGTAAATGATTGCTTCACCCTGCACGTAGAGGATGCATTACACAAGTAACCGAGCTGCTTACGTATTGCAGCCATGACAGGCAGGCTCTTCGTTCGCAAGTTAGGTGTTGAGATGCGACCTTCACCTCTTGAAGTGCAAGCTTTAATGACACTCGAATGGATTCTAGGTTCCATTTGACCTATTGACCACTCTAGGTTCCTACTGACCATCTAGATTCTAGGTTACTAGGATTCTGAACGATTCTTCTTGTTACCGATTATTGACTTAACAACATTGTTCAGTGTTCACTCTCTGACGCTAGAAAATCTGCTAACAATTTGCAGTGGTAACTACGCGCCTCACATCTGGTCCCAGCAGACAAATTTTTTTTTTAAATTCACGTGCAATTTTTTTACAGTTGAGTACATAAATTAAGTGAAAAATTCTGCTTATTTAAATTATTAACGAATAATATGTCGAATTGGTTGTTGCGTACGCGGAGAGTACTTGGTGATATACCGTGACCATACATGTGTACAAGTGTACAGTGCATGTACAGGACCTCTTTGTGTTGTCCATTATGAAAAATTTGGGAGTCACTGCTTCAGTATATCTGTTGTGAGAAAATACCGATATAGTTATATACAAAAACGATGTAGATTATGTAGCAACGGCTCAGACCGTAAAACTTAATATAATTATTAACATTGCTAATCGAACTTAGTGCTTGTTGTTTTCAATTGGTAGGAATAGTTTCGGGAATTGACAACAATTGTTAGGATAACTGTTTTATGTCATTCAAT